ACTTACCCCACACTTTAAATTTCTGAGACAGAGAACTTATGATAGGCTCTCATTCAGAGCATTCCTTCCTCAATAAACATTCTGAAGACTGAAGTTTTAATTTACAGTTTGCAATTCATTCTTGCCCTCAGTATGCCAACGGTAAGACAAAAATTCTTTGGAGTCCAATTTCATTCAGGCCACTTTATTTATATATTTAATTCCCAATCCAGTTTCAAACTGTCCTGATAATTCTTTCCTAATCTGATCCCCTCCTGATTTGCATTTGATTTCAGGAATAGAGCCATGACAGTGAAATCAGTACAGGCAGTCCTCAACTTATGATCACAACTGAGCCCAAAATTTATGTTGCTAACTGAGAAATTTGTTAAGTGAGTTTTGCCCCATTTTATGATTTTTTTTGCCACATTTCTTATGTGAATCACTGCAGTTGTTAAATTAGCAACACGGTTGTTAAGTGAATCTGGTTTCTCTATTGACTTTGCTTGTCAAAAGGTTGCAAAAGGGTGATCACATAACCCCAGGACACTGCAACCGTCATAAATGTGAGTCAAGCATCCGAATGTAAATCACATGACCATGGGGATGCTGCAACAGTCATAAGTGTGAAAAAAGCCATAAGTCCCTTTTTTCAGTGCAGTTGTAACTTTGAATGGCCACTATGTGAACTCTTGTAAGTTGACAACAATTTACCTGTATAAATCCAAAGCATTTTTACTTGTTTTGTCAAGCAGATCTCTTATTTACCTTGGTTCTTAGAATTGATGCTTGGTGGTGATACATGAACAGTCCGAGAAAGACACCAACAAGAAATGGACCATATCGGCAGTAAGGTTTTGAGTAATACTCTAGAAAATACATCACAGTGGACATTTGCCTGAAAGCAGAGCAAAAATTATTTTGGTGAAACTTAAATGGACAAAAAAGAATAAATATTACAAACTAAAGCTTCAAATTGTTTGAAATGAAATACAGAGAAGAGCAACAAAGATGATTAGGGGACTGGAGGCTAAAGCATATATAAGGAACGGCTGCTGGAATTGGGTATGTCTAGTTTAATGAAGAGAAGGACGAGGGGGGACATGATAGCAGTGTTCCAATATCTCAGGGGCTGCCACAAAGAAGAGGGAGTCAAGCTATTCTCCAAAGCGCCTGAAGGTAGGACAAGAAGCAATGGATGGAAGCTAATCAAGGAGAGAAGCAACCTAGAACTAAGGAGAAACTTCCTGACAGTTAGAACAATTAACCAGTGGAACAACCTGCCTCCAGAAGTGGTGAATGCTCCAACACTGGAAGTTTTTAAGAAGAGACTGGACAGCCATTTGTCCGAAATGGTGTAGGGTTTCCTGCCTGAGCAGGGGGTTGGATTCGATGACCTCCAAGGTCCCTTCCAACTTTATTATTATTATTATTATTATTATTATTATTATTATTATTATTATTGTTATTGTTATTGTTATTGTTATTGTTATTGTTATTGTTATTGTTATTGTTATTGTTATTGTTATTGTTGTTGTTGTTGTTGTTGTTGTTGTTTTGTTGTTTTGTTGTTGTTATTATTATTATTACTACTACTACTATTATTATTATTATTACTAGTGTTAACTCACATGACGAATACAATAACACTGTTGTGAACAGAAAGACTTGACATGGTATAATTTTAGAGATTTGCACTGAAATAAAATACAATAAAATCTCCTTCTTATCTGCTGTACAATATTCACATTTTTTGCCCTTTAAAAGATAATTAAAAGAAAAGAATCTCAGTCAACTATGAATTCACTGGAAGAAATCTTCATGCATGCTGTTTCTCTTCTAGAGATGCCAATTTTTGTTTTAAAAAATCTGAAGGATTAACTCAGAGTGAACAGCTAACTTCCCTAGAAAATTTTCTTTCTTAGCAAGGATCAAGAGCTGTAAGGCTGTCCTGAATATTTTTTCCTTTCTCTTTCTTAGCATTTCTGGGTTCTTGGTTCTCAAATCTTAACTTTAGTCATTATTTTAGAGATAGCAAATGTTTGGTTGTTGCCCCTTCTAAGATTAAATAAACGCTTTGGAAGAGGGCGGATAATTTAGACTAATTGCCTCATCTGTGAGTCAATTTCATCTACTCATAACGTTCTAGTATTCTTGCAAATAACATCCAATTGTGTTAAAAAAGATAATGATGTTGCAAACAGTTCCATATTCTTCAACTGGAGAACTTTTGGATCTCCAAATCTCACTTTAGATTTGAATGCAAGTCAGATTGAGGCAGCTTAGTTGGAACCAGTTAAAGTCAATTGTCTTCCATATTCTTAATTGGGATCTGCATTTAATCTTAGAGGTCATGAATATTTTAGTACAGGGGTGTCAAACTGCTGGCCCGTGGTCCAGATGCATCACGCCACAACCACACCCACTCCATTGCTGGCATGATACGTCGCGACACGTCACGTGACATTGCGAGCTTGACACCCCTGTTTTAATATATGAGTGAGAGGTAGAGAGAGAGGGGATACAAGAGGGGATATGCCTTGATCTATTTTGAATTATTTCAATTTTTGGTCTAATGATATTCAATCCTAACCAAACTTCTGAATTTTTATCATGTTAACTTTTTTTTCAGGTTCAAGAATGTCTTTTAATCCCAGCCTGCAGCAGCTCTGTCTTTATTCTCAATGTCTCTATTTCTTCCTACCAACTTTCTCTTTTTCTCTCTTTCAAAAATATTCCAGCAAAGATTCAACTCAAGTTCACAAACAATTTTTGGATTCTTCTCAACCTGTCAGTAAGTGAGAAAGTACGAAGGAAACCATTTTAAAGCTCCTTACCTCATATCATGTGGGTTTGCTATAGGCAGTCGGTAGAAGAATGAAAGCAAAGCTGTAGCTGTAAACGTTGCCAGGAACAGAAAGATTGCCAAGATGACAAGGCAGCATTTCCTTCTGCCAAAATAAAAAGAAACAGAAGCAACAGATGGAAATATTACATCTATGGAGCTAGAGGGCTACTTTCATGCTTTTTGAATAAGTGGCTCTTCATCCAGAGAAACAGGATTATTCATTTTTACTGTGGATAGAATAAAGGTGTACACTTGTTTTGCAATGCAGAAAATATGGACCCAAGTAGGGCCTGATTACTAAAATGTTCATTTTCCCAAAGGTGCTTTCCAAAAGGCAAATGGACTTTCTTGGTCTCTACTAAGAAAGTCCAGTTGCCTTTTGGAAAAGCACCTTTGGGAGAACCATGACTTGGATAATTGAGATTCTCCATAGACAAAATGCATAGAAAATCATATAGGACCCTCATTCAGAACCATTTGCAATAAATAGGGTGGGGATTTCCTGGCCACCAACAGAGTTACATTGAAGGGTCTTTGATGCTCTCTGACCTTGGTTTTCTCCTGTTTTCTTGCAGATGTTTCATTACCAAACTAGGTAACATCATCAGCATTAGTAAGGAATAGGGTTTGCTCTCAGTTTATATTCTAATGGCTTACCCTGTTGGTGGGAGTGGTTTAGAAGGTTGGTTGGTTGGGTTGTTAGCTTGTTTGACAGTTTCTTGACTGGGGTATTGTTACTTTGTGAGGCTGCCATTCTCTTCCCCCCCCCCCAGCTATTTCTAAAGAACAAGACAACCAGATATTTATATATTTATATTTACATTTCAGTATTATGGACTGTGACAGGTTCTGACAAGATACTCACCTGTTGTAAAGAAAGACTAGCAGGGGCGTTATGAAATAAAACTGGAAATCATTTGCAAGATACCATGTCCATCCATTACACTGAAAAACACATGGAAAATGGACATTTTAAACATAGCTATCCTTAGCTATCCTTATAGCTATTCAATTTTTAATTTCTAGAAGAAAGGTTGCTAGGTCCCAAGTCTCCCTAGAAAGGATAACCTGTTATTTGGCAGCCCTTTCCCTTAACATAGGGATGTCCAACCTTGGCAACTGTAAGATTTATGGACTTCAATTCCCAGCCAGCATGGAGAATTCTGGGAGCTGAAGTCCATAGGTCTTAAAGTTGCCAATGTTGGACACCCCTGCTTTAACAGATGATTTCATTCTTTGTTTAGCTTTAAACTTTTCTTGCAAAGGATAAGCAATATTTCTTAATAATGTGGTTTAAAATGCAGATTGATCTTCAGCTTGATACACAAAAGACTTTGTGCACATAATCAACATTTAATAGATTTATAAAAAATATCCCCACAGTTAATTTTTAAAGGACATTTCACTATGCATCTTGAGGCATTAGACATGATGGACACATTCAGGACTAATTCTGACCTAGATTTTACATTATCTGTAAAATATCTGTAGTCATCTGTTCAGCTGCTGACCTTCCTACATGTATGAGTATCGTGCCCATGGCTGATGAGTTACTTACAAATCTCTTCTCTTCTATGCCTACAACTACAATCAAGAGGACTAGAGAAGAAATTCATGGAAACCAGGCCTTTACTTAAACAGTGGACATTCCATTGTCAAAACTTACTGACTTGGGTCCAGCAATGAAGTTGTTTATCAGCAATAAGTTGGTCCACCACATTCTTCTACAATTCTCCACCTCAAGTTTCAAGAACTCCCAGAGTGCTCCCCATGGAGTAACAGAATACAACCCAACCAAAAGACACACGGAATACATATGGAGTGGCTGAAGTCTACAAATGCAATGACAGCAGAAAGAGTCAGTTTACAAAGCATTCTGAGCTTTACAGCTAATTCCCCTTTAGAGAGGTGCCTGTGGGGTGTGGTTGAAAAAAGTCAAAAAGACTGGTATGTATGTTTTTGTGCACTCTGAAGTGCATACTGTAAAAACAGGTGAGCTTCAAATTGCACCATTGTGGCTACAATTTTGACTTTTTTCAGACATTCTTTCAACTTTTTCAACACTCCTGACCCTTTCACTTATCTCCATATACCAAAGTGCATTTATTAATTTAACTTTTTAGAATGTATGAGTTGAGAGTATGGTGGCCTACAATTTTAAATTATTATCTATTCACAAGAATGTGAATTCACAGCTGCCAGTTCTTTAGCTGGTGTTGGCCTTACATAGAGTTCTTCCCAAGAACCTAGTATGTCATAATGTATCAGTGTAATATATGTGTAGATTCAAGCAGTGTGGATGGAAATTTGGTCAATTTTCTAAGTACTATCCAAACTTTTTTTGCTGTGGAATCCAGTGCGCCAATAACTACTGGAACCAGATTTTGATATTTTGTGATCTTCAATTATTTATCTTCTATTCTACATCCCCTAGTATTGCTACATCAGTTAATTACACTTACTTCTTTCAACCACAGTTATGTTTCAAGTTTATTGCATTTATATCCCGCCCTTCTCCTAGTGGACTCAGGGCGGCTTACAGCCAATTAAAAACAGAACAATTGATACAAATCTACAAAATTTAAAATCAATTAAAAGATATATTCAATAGGCCTATTCATATTTTAAAATTAATTAAAAACCAATTTAAAATGTCCCTAGGCCAGTCCTGCCTGCTGAAACAACCATGTCTTGAGGGCGCGGCGGAAGGAGGGGAGATCCGGAATCAACCGGATCTCTGGGGGCAGCTCGTTCCAGAGGGT